CGCCTGGCGAATACGATGGCAAGAATAATGGCAGCGAAAAGCATTGCAAGATCAGAAAGAAGAAATTTAAAAAAAGAATTACCTATCAGCCTCCTAGGGCGGGTCGTGCTGAAACGGACCTACCCTCGAAGCAATCAAAAAGATTCTTAGTAAAACGATCACGAATAAACCGAAAAGGATCTTAGGAAAATAAATTTTGTCCTAATCGTACTCTTAGACATCAAAAGGTTTGTAATACAGCCAACTGCTTAGTGATTGTGACGGCCTTGTAGAAAGAATATTCCTTAAAATGGATTGCAGAAAGCTAGACATCGGCCATAAACGAACGCATATCACAGCAGGAGTCCTCAAGGTCAGTACTCGGTTTAACGTTGTGGAATTTAGGGTACGATGACGTATTAGCAATACCTGGCTTGGCACACAGAATTGAAGGCCTAGTGTATACAGACGACCTGCTGCTGCCAGACAAGACAACAAACGCTATCTTAAACACGATTAATATCTGGATGGAAAAGCACCGTTTCGGGGTAGCACCGGAGGAAAATGGAGCCATCTGTTCGACCAGTAAGAAGAGAGTTGGGGGGATCAGCCTGACGCTCGATGATTTACCCATCGAGATTGACCGTACGGCCAAATGCCTGAGAGTACTCCTAGATGCATAATTAACAGCTATGACCCATGTTAAATACGCAGTTGATAAGACAGCAAGATGTGCGGTGGACGTGACACGACTTATAACCGTAATCCGGAGGACGACCAACAGCTAGATGGTTACTAGCTTATTTGCAGAATCTATCGTTCCTTATAGCTCCCCGATCTGAGCCCAACACAAAAAGAGTAAGAAGAGGTTCAACGGGCGGTGACCAACAAAATGGCTAGATTCCATAGGACAATATTTACAAATGGTGCTCTCGTTCTTGCTAGGAGGATCCTTTGGCATCCTCTGGCGGGCTACAGGGCTGAGCAATACCTAGATAAAAAGATACAGATATGCAAAAGCGTGTTGGACCACAGGCGAACTATCGGACCCATGGTTTTATACTTGACAAGTAGTTTGACTGGCCATATGGTGAGCTGTCATATAGAGTAATCATGTGTCTAATGGCCATAAGCGATTTCAAACATTCATAAAAAGTATTAGAAAAACCCAGTTCGTCATTTGCGTCTTGTAAAACTCGAATCTGCCGAACAAGCCAGAGTGCACGATTTTTCGATGCAGAGCTCTTTAAGACATAGGGCGCGAAATAGGGCGCGGTCGCACATGGAGGACTACATTAAGAAAATTACCGACGGTATAATTACATCGCAGTACTCATGGGTCGTCGAAGTGCTTTCTTTGAAGGCATAATGAGGAAGAGATGAACTGTAAAAGATCCGACAACGAAAATTCGGCAATTTAGAGAGCCGAAAGGCGTAAACGGAGGCACAAGCATAATAGCAATCATTCCTTTCTCATGGGTCCGAGATAATACTAAGTGCCCACCGGTTCACGTGAAAGTACATAGTGAAGGAGTCGGTCTTTTTTTTAGTAAACCCGGGATTTAGTTAGGATTGTTATTATGGGTGAGAGAAAGCTTTAAAATTTCACTGCAAGAAGTTCTTTTTTATGTCTCTGTATACGCGCGAAAAAAACAATGCCCCTTCGCTAAAAAAATACCAGCAACAGCCAGCCAGAGAAGGCTGTGAAAGGCAACTTTAGGCCTTTAGGCTTAAATATTAATAATTTGCCGGGCAACGAAGATCCTTTCTTGATAAACGGAGCAAAATGTATCCTTTTATATATATGTATTTTTCCAGAAGATTTGCGCTGTATTTTCAATAGACAGGTCTTCTTTAATCGAGAAAGCGTCAGTGACACAGCTATAGTCAGCGCAAACAACCGCAGACAAGAGCAGCTCTGCGTCGTGTCCCTCAGGGCTTTGCCACTGGCTGACTGGCACGGTAGGATGGTTGAAAGCTTTAAAGTATTAAGAAAACGTCGAAAGCATACACGCAGAGAAATAAACCGAACTAGATTGATTATATGTAGGAATGGAAATAAGCAAACCAGGTATGGCTTCCAAACCACCGATTAGGCGTAATTGGCAGCTTTCTAGAACTGACTTAGAAATCGTTTGCGACGACCAGCTCGTCGATGGTTTTAAGAACAAAATCACCAAAGTGTTCTTGCTTCTGCATTCAGATTTTTGATAGGTGATAATATGTTGTGGCAACGGTTGTGCCATAGGCAGCAACATTAGTCAACCCGTCCTCCGCCTCCCCCCGCCTCTGCCCGCCGACGTTCCACATTTACGGCTGCCGATAGCGATCTGTTTGATACCCGCTTTTCTTCTTAATCATTAGGTCAACATTTTTTCATTCCGCAATCCACCAGCGCCATTTACCAATCATTATCTTCGACGTTTACAGCGACGCTAGCACCAAGCAGATGGAAGCACGCAGGACGAGTCAGACCTGAATCTGTAATCAGTGTCACCCGGTACTACAGTCATGTCGCGCGTGCCGTGTTCTTCATTATTTGAATATGCTTCGGCATTGTTTTGTCGTTCGAATTCATCTATGGCGCAAACTGTGTCCCACAGGTTTGCCCTCCTTTTGCCTTTCTCCTGGTCTCTTGACTCCTTGCCCCAGGTCTTTTCATGTTATTTCTCTTTCATGCAGTCTTCTTGATCTTTCTTATTCTGGGCTGTTCAACAGGAGCTCGGTGTAGTCAGAGCAAACTATTCACTGGTTCAGCTACACCGCCCTATCCAGACAATAGCACTATATTTTGGCAGATGCTTCTGGCAGACGCAATCCTCTATGCTTTTCTGGAAGCGTCGTTTAATGTTTTATGCTTTTATACGGGTGCCTCGCCATATACGAGGCCGCCACGAGGTGCTCACCACCGGAACCATTCGAAGCAACGTATTATGCCTTCATGTCAGAGTCGACCATCACGGAGAACGTACGCTGTGTTAAGGCTCAGTTCTTACCTGTGTGTCTGTCGTCTTGTTAGCGCGTTAATGCGCTATTTCTTGCTACCAGCAGATGGCCCTTAGGCACACAGAGACGACAGATTTTCCCTATTTTTACCTTTCAGCGCGTATAATATTTCGTTTAAGCGATGCTACCACCTTCGCATCCATCCAGATACACACACAGGACGATGAAAATAGCGCTGACGAGGTCTTCTCATCAGAGCCCCCACCCCACCCCACCCCCACCCCCCAATTACGCCTTGCTCTGGGTGCCACTTCTATCTGTTTCATGTCATCTGACATGGTGTAAATGGGCGAATACATACTTAAGCGGTTCCTCTGTTCGGTTGTTGTGCCTTTTCTTTCAACTAGATTTCATCTTAGCATGCGTCCCTGTGCCAACGTTCCTGTAGCGGCACGAGTGTGCCGCGATGACGCTTGCCGCTTTACGCTCTGCCCGTCGATACGCTGCCACCAAAAGCCATTCGTTCTTTCGCTGACGCCGCTGCCGTTGCTGGTTCCGCTTTCGTTGTCGTAGCAGGCAGCAACGGTCGAACTTCACCGATGCAGCCGGCGATAAAAAGACAGTTGAAAGGATGATGCTGAAAAATGAGGATGCGAAAATAACGAGAAGAATAGCTACGATGGCAAAGCTGCTGCCACGGCGCTCATGGAATCTTCCGATGACAGTTGCTAGCGTTGTTATGAAGATTCAAGCTGACGAGTGAAAGAAAAAATGGTAGACAGCGGCAAAGGCCCTCGTGGTCTACGGTGGCCCTCGTGATGACGGGCCACGGCGTGGCCTTTGCTGTCACCACGTTGATGACAACGATTTTAGCGCTGTATCGGCGGGAGAATTTTAGATCAGCTCTAGGCCAATACTACCATGTCCCATATACCCGACTGTCGACTGCTAACACCGAGTAACAGATAGTAACAATCAGGAAATAGACAGACAAACCGATAGTATAAAAGAACCTAAAGCGGTTCTGCATTACCAGAGTGTTCCACGTGATTCCCGCGGCTAGAGTCTGATGAGCTCGGATGTAGCTGTTTGCTGTCTAAAACTTTCACGCTTCTTGTGTTTTCATAGCTGGAGTCCTGCTTCCTGCTACGATTTCGTGTTGTCCTATTAAATGCGAGCATGGCTAATATTGCGTATGCAATTCTCAACAGCGGCAGCAGAAGCGGCTGCCATTCGATTACGTTCGGTCACACACAGTTTATTGAACTGCCGCAAAAAAGTAGCTCCTTCGTCGCTACTCCTATTAAACACACAATGACAATGAATTCGACAACGTGTGTGAGTGCGGAGAGATAGGGGATTGGCTCTTAACAACATCCATGTTCTTGTTGCCGTTGGGCCGACGGCACGAGGAAGCATCAGACCGAACCGGCGAAGCAATACGAGGAAGAATTCCGAATGATGACAAGAGTTAGAGGGCGAGCTTGACGAAGACTCGAGCAGCACTGGAAGCCCAACAACCTTAATAACAACCCCCTCATTGCTGGCGGCTAAACAACCTCGACAATGAGCATATTGCGTAGTATTGCTTTTTCCTGGAAACACCCGCTGCTGCCGCCGCCGCCGCCGCTGTCACAGCGGCATACGAACCCTCGCGTCTCTTACGGCGTCCGCGGTTGGTGACGATTCTGGCTGCAGCCGCCGCCAGCATCGCCGCCTCGAGCGGCAGTGCCTTGTTGGTTTTGCTGTCCCCTCTTACGACCAGACGGCCACAGCGGCAGCGGCAACCGGCCTCCTTCGACGAATACCTTTGCTTCCTACCAAGCTCTATTACGTTTGCTATATGGCTCGCACATTACTAATGGCCACTATCTCGCCAGTCTACCTGGTGGGTCTAAGGGATCTATAGAGTGGAGTGACTGTATGAGCGCGCTGGCGAGCTACGTTACATTCACTGTAAGGCCCCCAACGGCAACGTAATTCCGTTGACGGCGGCGGCGGCAGAAGCAGTCGTTGTCCGTGCAGGGGACGGGCCAGAGGGTGGCGGCAGTGATGAGCGAGGAGAATCCGGTAAGGGAACGGCCGACGATTAGTCGACGATCGGATACAAAGAGAACGGATTGCCAGCTCCCGTCACCAGACCTTTACGGCCCGTTATTGAACGACATCGTGTGTCCGACCGCTTTGCTTTTGTCGTAGCCAGCACAACAACGGCAACAACAAGAAACAACCGTCAATATGTCGTGTGAAGCTGTCTGCGCCTTCGAGAAGCTTGCCAAGCTTGGTAAGTAGTCTAGCTAACTGGTTATACCTGTTTAGAGGCGGTTGTGTTGCAACTCGGTACATAAGTAAACTAGAATGGATAATGCTACTAGCTGGACCGGATGAGCAGAAACTTTCCGAAAGCAAATTGCCAAAAGATCTGCTACTACTGAAGCGATGGATAAGTTACCGGCAAAATACCACGCGCCCCAGAAAGTGTTTATCCCTTTGTGCCGTATGTGTGAAGTCCACAACGTGAAACTTCAATACTCGTGAAGTGTGTCACTCCACCCTCGTACTTTTTATCGTCCTCGCCGACGAGTTCACGAACGAACAGATACGAACGTTCGTCCAACAAAAAAGTAACGAGCAGTTTTTTTCTTTTGTTTTAAATCGTTCGATGAAACCGTGTGTCTGTGTGAGTGTGAGTGCAGCCCGTTCATGTCGCACATACAAGCCCTCGTCTGAATGCAGTCAGAGCCCTGAGGACTGAATAATAAGTCGGTTCCATCTTCTTGCAGTTTATCTCATACTTAATGCCCCTGAGTTACTACGCCTCTTGATAGGATTCATTATGCACCTCCCTTAATTCGTCACTGTTGTATCCGTTGTACAAGCAACTCTATCGAGACATTCTACATGTACTCGAGATTGCTATAGCGCGCCACGAGGCGGTCAGAAGCGACCATGCTGGCCGCGGTATGCCAGTGAGCCCCGCACTCCTGCTGTTGATGGGCGTGGATCTGACAGCTTCAACATCACAAATAACGGCCGGCGCCGAATGGCGGCCAGCGATATGCAGTGGCGCTAACGTCAGATGTCGGCACCGATTCTGACTCTGGCGTGGCTGCCACTGTTGTTGATGGCGAACAACGTCAGGGTCTTGCTGGCTGGCTGGCTGGCCGGCCGGCTGGCTGGCTGCCTCGTGGCGCCACGTGCTATTGGGTGGGGGCGCATTTCCTCATAGCGTTTTCCAAAGTACGCAGGCTATTTCAATGGCGGTTGAGGTAAAAATGGCTGAACAGCTTTAAAAAATTACGCTTGCATCGTATCTTCTTTAAACTGTCCGAAGACCTTAGCCTTAGCTTGTACATTTACGACGATACAGCCTGTTGAGCAGGTTGCGGAAGATCAATTCTATGTTAGATAGCTATATGACTAGATGTTACTATATAGAAATGCATACGTACACGTGTATTGCATTGCATCATGTATGAGCTACGTTTTGAGATGACATCCATGGATCCGAGTTACGAGTTCTTTCTCTAGATAATAGACAATATAATTGGTATAGCTCGAATAAGTTGAGCCTGGATTTCCCATCGCTAAACGTTGCTCGCTGAACCGAACGTATAGCTAATGAGGCTTGCGTAAGCTGCGCACTATACCGTATAAAACTTTTACTAAATAGGTTCAACTCATTGTTTTTTTGCCTTTCCAACAAAATACAGAGATGCAAAATTAGAGCGAATAATTTGCATGAGATTATTACTAATAGTATATTGTAAAATAAGGACAACTAGGTATGAGTTTGGTTGTTTTTTTAATTTTATAAATAATCAGCAGGGCAACGAGCCTCCATTCTGAATTTTAGCTTATTACCATTATTATGGCTATGGGTAATAATATTGTCATTACTATCTCTATTTCGAAACGCAAAATATTGCCACGAGACGTACTTGTTTGCCATTGAGCAGTCAATCGCTTGATCTCTATCCCTTTGTTCCTTTGTGCCCCGTTTTCACTCACGTGGTAAACGCCGACCAACTATCATTCGCTCGGGTAGAGGTAATTGCAGTTCCATTTCTTCCATGGGAACATCGTCTATTTGTTGCTTGATCGTTCTACCGATTTCATTGACCTGGAGAGTCATTCTTCGGTCAGTGTTGTCCTACCCAACGACTCCGTCTATAGCATGTCTGATAGTTGGTTTTTTCTTTGTTTTCACTCAGAAACGCGCTCAAACACAGACGAATTTCTGCTTCTCTCGTAGCCAGCAGTCACCCTCGAATTTCTCTAGGCTAACCTCGATATCAGAGTCAACCGCGAATCTACGGCTTTCGAGGGCCGTTGACGCGTTGTTTAGCGATATCCGACGTGTTACGTCGCGAAAGAGGTCCTAGATTTGACACTCAAACATACGTAGATACATTGAGGGACAGAACGACGTAGGCTGGTCAGAACGGCATGAGCTGGCCAGAACGGCGTAAGCTGGCCAGAACGGCGTAAGCTGGCCAGAACGGCGTAAGCTGGCCAGAATGAGGGCCGCCGGAGTACTCGAGGAAACACAATATCATCATCGTATGTCTGGCTGTGATCTTTGCAACGCCATATCGTTAGTTATTATTCTGTCCCATATTTTATTCTATGGACAGCGGGTCGTCGGCGTAGCGATAGTTTACAATTGTATTGTTGCTATTATAGGATAAGAGATAATCTAGTGAAGAGTAGCGTATCGGATCGGAAATAAACCGTGTCGCAATCATAACGAGGGGAAGACCACATCCATTTAACGGTATTGTATTAGATTATCACCGCGATTTCTTTATACGGATATAGATAATAATGGCGCCAGCTGATGACGCGGTGCATATGTAGCCTATAGGCTTACTGTGATATTTCCGACCGGCGGAAAATCTCGCTGGTAAGTTCTCATGAATATAAAGCCCCATGATATCTATTATTTCTAATATTGCTTTAATTATTACTTAGTAGATAGTTGAAGACGTGGCAAATAAAACGAATTTCCAATAGTACTTGAGTAACCCAATCTCATTTCTCCACGGCGTGTGGCGATAATATAATCAGAGGCACACGTTATCTAATTGATTTGTTTCGTTGCGAGGCTATTGAGCTGAATGTGATTACCGTCGCTGTTGATGGCCGTCTTGGACTGGCCTTGGCAAAAGTTTCCTCAACAATGACTCAACTAATTTACTTGTAATTCAAAATTAGACAGAAAAGGTTTGCTTGAAGACATTAAACAGTTCAGCTAACTTCATCACTTGCTCCGTTCAGTTTCTGTTAGCAAGTGTTACCCTCTGCTAATTACTAGACCCATTTTCTCAAATCGCTGCAAACGGCACTCAACTAAACCGAACGACAATAAACGTCTTGCAGAACGCGACAGATAAACGCTATGAAGTCTTGGCAAATAGCTCGCCGAAACTGGGTTCTTGATCGATGCCATAAAGCGACTCGAATCCGTGTCGTGGGCTAGCTGAAAAATGGGAAAACAGTGAGAAAAAAACAGCACGAAGCGCAACCTGTCAACTGTAGAAGCTAATGTCCTAAATGGTTCTTACATATATGTATATATAAGCGGATCAAAATTGAGTACCACATCCAAGAAAACCATACCACTGCCCCCACTTAGAACACGCATCAATGGGCCACGCGTCCTGTTAACGTATTACCGCTAATCGGACAGCTGCCGTAACCTCTACCCACATATGCGCACCTGCTAGAACTAGACAAGACGGTTTTTTCCCTATGACCAACGAGCGTTTTCACAATAGCCTAAAGCCAACATGAAACTCAACAAATGCCGATGCCGGCAACAGCGCCACACTGGCCGCGCCGCAGACCCAGTGACCGCGCCCATCGCATCTCGTTCGTGAGCCCCGCTAACGCTACCACAACGACAAAGGCGTTACGATAAAGGTAGTCCAAAGTAGGAACGTTTGAAATAGCAATTATGCTTTCTACTCGAGATCAGATGACCTTATCGAATTCGATTCCGCCTCTGCTGTTGCAGCCGTCACTGTATCTGTGCAATTGATTATATGGCTCAACTTGCGCGATTCGTCACTTGACCGCTTGGCGAATTCAAGTTGATGGTGCCACTAGGGGGCAAATCGATTTGCAGTTAATGACTACTGCAGCAGCAGCAGCAGGGCAAAGCCAACAGTTGATATTTTGCCATGCTTATCTATTTCCCGTAAAACCATATATGGTTTACTTACTTGTAAGGCTTTGTGAGCTGGTCTATTATACAAAGTGGGGCAAAGATAATTGTTTGATAGTTCGAAAAGTCACTTGATAGGTCATCATTTTACGAAATAACTGACGAAACTGTAGTGAATCTAAAAACAAAAAAAAAATGAGCTGTTTTTTCAACTGTGAAGGATTCTCTACACCCTGTATACTACAGATTGTATCTAGTGTTCCGTTTGTTGTAGTGATAGTTATATGCCTCTATATAAAAACTACAATAGTGCCACCACATAAGAGCGACGCAAATGAAACTAACGTGATAATATCGGTAGAGCCGGCGTGGCGCTCTCACGTTTAGTTAGTTAGCCAGCTACCGTCCTTTAGGGGCTAAGCTGACTTCATATAGCGCTAGCAACAGCAGAACTTTGCAGAAATGTAAGTGATTATAATAGTGTTAGTGAAGTTTCCCGTATTCCGCTGTTTACTTATTCATCGTAGTCACTGGCGGCCACGGTCCGGTGGCCTGTTGTGCTGTGGAAGGTCTCCTTGCCATGCTCAGATGATTAGCAAATGCTCGTTGGGACCGGCCACACGGCGGCATCTGAGCTCGATGTAATCCTATCTGGCCTGGACAAACTGATTGCCTAGCATGAGCAAATATAAATAAAGAAACTGGTAACTTACTGCGGTAGGTGGAAAAAAGATGTCCAATTAAACTGTCGTCGTCGTCGTCGGTAGCGAAGGCCAGAAAGATTCCATCTTGCGACGTTGCCTTACCGAAGATGCCCGTATAGAACAAAAGAGCAGCTGGTCAACTATAAAGAACTTATGAGATTGATGAAGCGTTAATATAACTTAAGTGTTAACTTGAGTGACTTAAACAAGGGTTAACTAAATATTCGTAATACTAATATGTGCTTGTTTTTCAAAGGTCTTTCTGTTTAACTTCCCAATACGGTCCGACAGGAATAATAAATTGAAAACGCTGAATAGTCACATTTTCTCTAATTATATATCGACCTGTAAAGCGCTCATGGATGTGATTTAATATAGGTCACTTTCTTTGGATTTTCTTTAGTAGTAACT